GCAGCTGTGCCCTTCAGATGGAGTTACTTGGAGGCGGCAGGAGAGAAGAGGGCCTTGGTGGCTCCAGGACAGCAAGACCACTAATAGGGTTCCTGTGGACCCACACAGGAGCGAGGAGCCAGAACAGCTGAAAAAAAGGAGCCACTCAGAGGCCGGTGAGTCATCGCAAGGGACCGGCGCAGGGCCCGTCCCATGAGAAGTGTTTGCAGCACAGGGGGTGGGGGAGAAAGGCCCACTGGGAGAACACTGGGACACAGCAAGGACAGCTGATCTGCCCCGTAATCAGCACAGGACCACTCAGAGGAGACTGGTCAGGAAAGCAGAATTGCATGGGGTGCAGTTTGTTGAAAAAACTCAGGCCCAGATTAGAGATTCTACAGAACACAGATCCACCGGGTCTCTGGAGAGCCAGAAGTACCTCTAAGGTCAACCATTAAACCCTGAGCTGCACAAAAAACCTTCCCTAGGGAAACAGCAGCAAAACAGCAAGTTACCTAAACCACACAGCTCAAGTACTGGTCCCCAGAGGAAGTTCCCCCGTGTTAGAAGCAAAGGACAAAAAATTAGTTCCGGGCCAGGCACACCACCAGCACCTTGGGGCCTGTCTGGGAACTGGAGGCTTGGATCTGGGGACCGGACCCCACTCCCACTTCCAGGCAAACTGCACCAGTACATCGGGGCCAGCCTGGGGAACTGAAGGATGGAGAAGAGGACTGGACCCCCCTCCCAAAACCAGGCACACCACACCGTCACCTTGGGGCCTGCCCAGGGACCTGAGGCAAGGAGAAGGGGAACAGACCTCTCTCCCACAACCAGGCACACTGAACCAGTGCTTCAGGGCCCACCCAGGGACCTGAGGCACGGAGAAGGGGACTGGACCTCTCTCCCACAACCAAGCACAGCACGCCAGCACCTTGGGTCTCGCCCAGGGACCCAGGGCACGGAGAAGGGGACCGGACCAACCTCCCACAATCAGGCACATTGAACCAGCGCCTTGGGACTCACCCAGGGACACGGGGTATGGAGTTGGTGACTGGACCTCTCTCCCACAACCAGGCACAACATGCCAGCACCTCGGAGCTCACCTGGGGACCTGAGGCATGGAGAAGGGGACTGGACCTCTCTCCCACAACCAGGCACACTGGGCCAGTGCCTTGGGGCCCACCCAGAGACCCAGGATATGGAGTTGGGGACTGGAACTCTTTCCCACAACCAGGCACACTGCACCAGTGCCTCAGGGCCTGCCCGGAAACCTGAGGCATGGAGAAGGGGACTGGACCTCTCTCCCACAACCAGGCACACCACACCAGCATCTTGGGCCCCGCCCAAGGACCCAGGGCATGGAGAAGGGGACCGGACCACCTTCCCACAACCAGGCACAACATGCCAGCATCTCAGAGCCCACCCAGGGACCCGCGGCATGGTGGTGGGAACCAGACCTCCCTCCCACAACCAGGCACAACATGCCAGCATCTCAGAGCCCACCCAGGGACCCGCGGCATGGTGGTGGGAACCAGACCTCCCTCCCACAACCAGGCACAACATGCCAGAATCTCAGAGCCCCCCCGGGGACCTGGGGCAAGGATAAGGCGACTGGACCTCTCTCCCACAACCAGGCACACCAAACCAGCACCTTGGGGCCCACCCATGGTCCCAGGGCATGGAGAAGGGGACCAGACTACCCTCCCACAACCAAGCACACCACTCCAGCACCTTGGGGCCTGCCCAGGGACCTGAGGCAAGGAGAAGAGAAATGGACCTCTCTCCCACAACCAGGCACACCAAACCAGCACCTTGGGGCCCAC